CCGGCCTCAGCGCCGGACAACAGCTGGTGATGACTGTCATCGAAGCCCGTCTTCAGGTAAATGGCGTTTCTGGACATCCAGTTGGCGCGCAAACTATGCACCGATACGTTCATGTCTTTGAATGCGTTCAACAGGAATATGGCGATTATGACGACGAGAAAGCCGCAGACACTGCCGATGGTGTTGTCGGCGGTCATCGATCGCCACTCCTTCAGCAGTATAGCGGACGCCGTGATCACAAAAGTGGTGAAAAACACGTAATAAATGGGAGTCACGACCGACGTGTCGAAGATGTCGAGCGATTTGTTTAAGTAATTCATTTGAATGGAAACCGTGAGCACAACGGACACCAGGAATGTCCAGAACAGCGGATGCGTTAATTGGTTGCTATCTGTCATCGTCTGCTTGATGGCCACTCCCAGCCCTTTGACGGACATCACGGACAGGGAACCGATGAGCGAACAGATGAGTACATAGATTAAGACGTTATTTGATCCATATTTGGGCGCATAGAAGGCTATCAAGAGAAATGTGGTGAACATCACGAACAGGAGGTACGCCACGAATAGAGGGTCGGCCAACATCATCGCCATCTCGTCCAACGAGTCCACGGGTCGGTCTTTGGGCGCGTGAATGACGATCACCGTTGAGCCCAACAGACACAAAACGCACCCGATTTTGCTCAAGAGGTTCAGCTTCTCCTTCAGGTATCTGTTGGCCAACACCGCGGATATCAATACACTTAACGCACCCAATGGTGTGACCAGAGAGGCCGGTGCGAAGGCATAGGCCGCGAAGTTTGCCAACTCTCCCGTTCCCACTGTATGGACACAATCAGGTGATTAGATACGCAAGAAGTGGATCAATAGGGACGGCATATGGCGTATATACTTACTGAACAGTAGGCCTGTCCACCAAACCCAGTCCTTGAGATAGCCGAAGCCTCCGGAGGCGGCTCTGAGGCCGCGGTTTGACAGACGGATGAGTCCTATCTTTTTGATGATAAAACTGATTCCTATGAATACACACGAAGACAACGCCAGACACAGACCGATGAGGAATGACTTGCGATCCGCCGCTTGAGAGACGCCGGTGTCGCCGGACATCATGGCTGCCGCCGGTGTGATCACCACTGGATCCGCCGCTCAGTCTTGAGATTCAGTGACCAAATCATGTGATTTAGCCGTCGATTGGTTGACAAAAAAGTTTTGTTTGTTTTGCACTCAAAATGTAAACAAAATTTATGTTTTCATGCATTCATTCAATTGCTTTCACTTTGAGCCCAATAATGACGTCAACTCTCAGTCACTCACTATTAGCCCCGCTTTCAGACGGCATTCCCCTTCAGCACAGGTATTACGCATCAGATCCGGACATCTGGTTATCTACCGGTGCGGTCATCGGTGGTGTGATCGGTCATGAACTGGACGGGCGGTCAACTGAAGCGCTTCAAAGTGGGCGGTAAGGCTTCGGCCAAAAGTCACGAAAGACTTCTTCAGCAGCGGTTCATAAGAGAGAAAGAGTTGCAGAAAATGAAGACTAAGATCAAAGTGGCCGCAGAAATGGCACCACAGAGTGGACACTGCGATGAGACGAGTGGCGCCACCACTTCCAGTGGGAACCACTTTCCGAGTTCAACGTCACAGCAACTGATCCAACAGTTGAAGAAGTCATCGGAAGCCAAGACAGCGATGGCTGAGTCGAAGACGGAGTCGACGACAACCACTGAATGCTTTGTGAAGACATTGAATGACAAGAAATACTCGGAGGAAGTGATGAGTCAATTGGTTTGGAAGTATAGCTCACGAGGAGATCAATGATCGGACATTCAGTCATAGAATCGATTCATTAGTTTATTACAGAATAACACATAATATCTCTAATTAATAGTCACTTTTGTCTTCAAATATGCCTTAATTTTGTCAATAATTTGTGATTAATATGCTATAAATATCTTAAAATATCAATGGATGGCAAACCATTCATTATTTCGCTGTCTTTCCCCTTATTCTTGTAAAAATCCAAACCTAATTAAAATCTCTATAAAAATTGTGTTTTGAAAACATTATAAAAATTGTTTTTCTTTTTTGATTCAATTGATCTTTGATTAAAAACATTTAAATACATTACTTTTGAATACATATTTCAATTGATATTTTGTTTAAAATCTAATTTAAGTGAATGTCATATAAATGACTTTTAAAACAACACAAACAAACAGTATTATACTGAATGTAATTTTAATTATTTACCGTAATAGTTACTATTCCCATGCATTCAACTATATCTAAAATCTAGCATATATTTCCACATAAGATATCATTGGACTAATTGATCAGTAAATAAGTGTTGAGTTGTGAGCAATATATATGGTATGAGTTGATTGTCTAAAGAATATTAGTTCCTCGAGAGTCGACAATCTTCTGGACGTAGTCTGGGTTGTGGTCATCGACTATATGTAACAGAATCCTCTTAAAGGACAAGACGTGATCATAAGTGTGTGAGTCGTTCACCAGTTTGTCCATCAATTTCAACGGATCTAAACACAATGTTATCCAAAATAATCAATG